GCCGGCACGAAGCTCTTCACATTTCTTGGCCGCTCGATTGCCGCGAGATGGCCAAGACGTCTCGAGTGGCGGCGAATTTAGAATTCTGCCTCTGCTGGTGGTGCTGGTGGTGCTGGTGGTGGTGAATGGGAACTAATGAATGCTCAAGGCCACAAGGATGAACTAGACGGGCCGGGGTGGCAGTGATAGCAAGGGGTGCGTTGGGGAATATGTAGATGAGACACCCAGCCATGCCATTCCATTCGATTCGATTCGATTCGATTGGATTGGATGGGAGTTTCGATGCGAGCGGACTGATTTATTTTTGTTATTGGCGCGGATTTCATAATATTCCACTCGATGATTCCCGTTCCGCGATGGCCAGATCATAAGCGACCGACCACCGAGCACCGAGCACCGACCTGCGACATCTTCTGCGTTGTCATGAGGCTCCGGCATTTATTTTTGTATTTATTTGTATTTATTGTGTTTTTCTGCTTAACGCGGCGTTGTTTATGATTTTGTTGCTCACCGCTTACCAGGAATTCGAGTCGCTTTTCAAGTTCAAGAGCACCTCGATAACGAGCTGCTGCTTAGCATATTTCGCGCCACACAAGGCAGCATTAGTACATTAGTATGTGCCATTGGCTATGAGGACTATGTGATGTGTGCCTGCGCAGAACCTTCGGGAAGCACATGAAAGTATCTACGGCCAGCTGTTTACACTTGTGGCAGCTACTTCCTTTTGGCCAAATTGGGCCATGGGCCATGGGCCAACGCCATCCGTCATCAACAATGGAATCCTGGGTGGCTTCTTGGGAAAAACTCGTACACATCGCCCAGCAACACTTAAATGGTGTTTTTGCGCATTTCAAACTATGTATATTAATCTTTAATGAACCCAGCAGAGCGGAAAATCCGTTTGCATATGATGTTTTCCGTTTCGCTGAGCTCCTTTTGTCTGGGTAATCATGAACAACCCACTGTGCCAGTTTAACCTTTTCCCATCTTCACTGCATTTCCATTTATTTGCCATTATAATGATACATGCGATTTTAATTACAGATCAATTCATTGTCATTTTAATTGATGCCAAAAGGTGCGCAGATGTAAATTATAGCAAACGCGAAAAACTACTCCTGAATATTTAGGAGCTGGATTCCATTTCCATTTACAAGCTATCGCCGTTTTGCTTTTGCATTTGAAAGCATTTCTGTGCTACCAATTAAAAAGTGCCATAATCAGCTCAAATTTCACCCGACTAAATTAAATAACAATACTTCATTTCAGTACATTTTACCGTGCACTGCCTTTTCGGTGTTTTGAAAATAATTGATATTAGCTAATCATTTTCAAATAGCAGAATATGAAACTGAAAGCGAACGGCCTACGAGCATGAAACGGACTGTAAGTGCAAATAGCGAGCGTGGAAAAAGTTAGTCAACAGCACAACCACCAATCGATGATTGTTTTTGGCCTTTGTTTATGGTTCTGGTTCCTTGCGGACTGCACGTATTTTTTTGGCAACGCAAAGGCGTGCAAAACACGGTTCATTCAGTCCGCACCCCAATCCATTCCAGTCCATTCCGCTCGACTCCACTCCGCATCCAATGGATGCGAATCCATTTGATAGCAGCCCATCCCCATCCCCAAACCGCGCTTGTGGTAGTTAATTCCGAGTGTATTTGAGTGTCTCCCATTTTTTTCGGCGCTGGCAAATTCGTTATTTATTGCGACTTGTGTTTAAGTATAGAATGGTGCTTTGTTCGCTTTGCCAAGGTCGCGACGCGCATTAAAGCAGCGCCGTCAGCATTAGAAATCAATTCTAAATACTGCATCGCGCGCCAAGGAGCCGGGCCGCACCGAATGCGGCATACCCTGCGCTGCGGCCCATGATACCATGCCACATACACCTACGAACCACGCCGCATACCTCGCAAGTACACATGCGAGTATAGGGTACTGGGAAGATAATACGCATTGGAATATATTGCTAGAACTGCGTTCGCAATCGCCGGCTGGACTGGCTTTACTTGCGCATTAATTCAATGTTTCCACATACACGTATGCGCAGTGCGACATCGAAATCGCGTTACGTGCAATACTATATAGATTACTATACCATCTATACTATAGGCGCCTTATGGTGTGCATACATCGCAGCGCGAGATATGCGATTCGCGAGTGGCGAAAACACGTTATCAAATCGGATGTCACTGGCGCGGCGAGCGTTCGGTCCACAAATAATGATCTAACCCAAGTCAAGTGGGGAATCACCGCGATTCCTGGAAGCGATCCCGGGCGGAAGCAGCAGCCAAATTGCACCAGCCCATGAGAAGAGCCACATACCTGCGCTGCCTCGGGCGTCTGGAGATTTCCCGATCCGATATGCGATGCATGCCGCCCAAGTGAGTCATCCTCGAAGACCCTTCGTGACTGTGCGCCCAGAGAAGAGTTCATTCCTTGGGAGTCGCGTGGTCAGTGGCTGGCAGCAGTTCCTGGAAGCTTCTGCGCACACTGACCGCACTCAAGGCCACTCAGGGAAAGGGCGAAACAGTTTTCCTGTTCTCCTTTCATTTCCCTGCCTCTGACTGGCGGTGGACGACAGGTCCTGATCTCCGCCAGTCATTGACCCACTGTCAGTCGCTGTCTTTTGTGTCGTTTCCTAGGCAGCTGCACTCTGCAGCCCGATCTCGGGGTGTCCTGAGCCCCGATCTCGGGGTTAATGACCAGCTACTGTATCTGTATCCCAAGAATCCCAACTGCCATGCGCTATGCTATGATGTGATGCCCTGCACGTTCGGTTTATCCGTCGCGTGCTGGCCTTGGTATTTGCATCTTGACATTTGGCATTTGGTCGGGATGGCTGCCCCAAAATTAGCAGATCCCAAGATCGCCGGGACATCCGTACTCGCGGTATTCTAATGGCGATTAAGCCGAACCGAAATCGAGTCGAACAGATGCAAATTAGTTCATTGGCCGCTGGGCAGTATATAAATTGCGCCAGCAGCTGCAATTTGCATAAATATTTGTTAATTGTATCTGAAAAGCAACCGGATCATAGCTCCGTCTGAGGGCGACTCCAGATGGCCGAGGAACTGGGCCAAAGGCACCGAAATTTCTAGGGTTTTCCACAGGGACGACCTTCGACAAGCCGATGGAAATGCCGCGCCAGTTGTGTTTCGACTCCAATGACAATCTCGATCTCAAGCTCAATCCAATCACAACATTTTCATATGCATATGAATATTTCGAAATTTCTTGACAGTGCGTATTTTCCGTGTTCGACGAGGGTCGGACCTTGTCCTTAAGCCAAAAGAACCGGCACAACAGATAAATATTAAAAGCCAAATAAGCCGAAAAACAAACAAATGGCCGACTGAGATGCCAAAGATACAGATACAAAGCGAGGCAGAAACTTCTGCAGAATTGATTACAGATGCATCCATTTGAATTTGAATTTCGTTGAATTGAATGCCGAAAATGAGCTCAGATGGGTCGCCGTTGTATTTGATGGCTCATATCGTTATGCTGATTGTTTATATTGATACTGAACTTGAATGCGAGCTGCAGGCCGCTGACGTCACACAGCAAACCCGTTGAGCAGCCCACTGGAGCAGGAGGATCAGTGGGAGGAGGATCGGATACCTCGGATCGCCACTCCAGCTGGAGGCAACATGAGATCGCTGCTTCGAGCCCCCACTCTAGAGCGGCGATAACTCGCTGAAGGCTTCGCTATTGACCCAAAATGCAAATTTGCATTGGATTTCGGTCTTTCGATTCCGCTTGGGCCGCGCTGCAGATACAGATACAGACACAGACACGGATACAGATACAGATGAGCTCTCCAGTGCAGCAGCTTCCGCTTTGCGGCTCTGGGTTGATCTTTATAAAGCGGCCGCTCCTCAACGCCATTATCTATTGATTCGAACCAATTTCCATATCCTATCGCAGTCGATCTCGGTTTGGCGTGGGTGCTGTGATACTGGATTCCCGCACCTAAAAAGTTTCAAAATCGTTTATTAAACTCTCATAAATATAAAATACACGTAAGAATAAACAAATCCCACATATTTGTATACGATGTAAGGTGGTATTATAAGGCAGGGGGCTCTTAAGTTCTCACAAACCTTCTGTGTTTAGTAGCTTTTTTGTTTTTTGAAACTATACATCGTTGGGTACTCAGGAACTTAAATGTTTTTGAGAAACGCATGGCTCACAAATATAAGTGGTATTTAGCGAAGTTATTCAGGGTGCTGATAATTTTGAAATACTTGCTTGTACAATTGGTATGTACTCATAATTCCAAAAAAATCTTCGCATTCATCATTTTTCTGACCATAATAAGTCACATAAATAACTCGGATATCAATGAAGAAAAGTTGAGCAAGAATTTGTTAAGTTTAATTATGTTTTTATCACAATTCAATGGTAAAGATAATTTCCAAAGAAACCAATGAATTTCCAGCACGAAGCTGAGGAAAGCGTGTATATTTAAGCCAAGCAATAGTATTATTCAGCAAATTGCCATATCCACAACCAGGACCAATTTTCTGCCTGTTAGAACCAAGTTCATTCCCAAACCAAAATGATATTAGCCACATTCAACAGAAACTCGAAAGAGCGATTTGAAGAGCGCGTCACATGCGCTTCTCTTTCCATTTCGTTCGCTTCGAGCTTGAGCCTTTCTCAGTTCCACTCAAGCCAGCAGCGGCGAACATGTTGCGTCGATCGGTTCGATCTCCATGTTGGCTGCGCGCTGTGCGCTCGATCGAACCGAGTGATAGTGGCCGCCGCCGTCGACTGAGGCTGCGCTGCTGCGCGGGGGCGTGGGCGTGGGCGGGGCGGGGCGGGGGCGGTACTTGACTTGGCGCTGCTTCGTCTGGAGAGCTGGTGGCCTGGCAGGAGAATGGAGGAAAGGAGGTATGGAGGGAAGCCTCGCCCCTTTAGATTTCATTTGGCGGGGGAGCGGCGGAGCGGGGGAGCGGACCTCTGCCGGCGTCGCGTTGGAGCCGAAAAGCCGAAAAGCCAGCGACCAGAGGCCCCAAACAGACGGCGTCGGGCGCTTGGAGCAGCTGAAGAGCTGAAGAGCCGCAGAGCTGAAGAGCTGAGCTTGAAGAGCTGAGGCTGAAGCTGAAGCTGAAGCTGAAGCTAAAGCCACAGCTGAACCAGTGGAGCAGTGAAGCAGTGAAGCAGTGAAGCTAAGCCGCCGCCGAGAAGCCGAATCCGAACGATACCGATACCGACGCAGACCAGCACCAGCACCAGCACCACGACAACGAGACCGAGCGCCCCATCGCCGTCGATCATTCGTTTGGCGCTCTGCTCACTCGCGCGCTCGAAGCGGGCTCGAGTTGTTATAAAAGTGGCAAGGACATACGGTCGAGCCATTAGTCGAAAACTATAAACGCTCGACGCGAAATCGTCTCCGGGTCTGCGTCTCCGTCTGCGTCTCCGTGACCGAAAGCCAAAAAGCGCCAACCGTTTCACACAGCCCGATATTGTCATAAATATATAGACACATATGTATATTTATTTATTTTTTTTTTGGTTACTTCGGCGCATCCTGCAAATAATTTTACAACCAATTTACTGAACACTATTCCAAAGGCATCGCAACGCAGCGCAGCGCCACGCATTGAATTGCATTTTTTTTTCAAGTGCCAGTCGAAAGCGAGTAAAAGCAAAAGTGACCACCAATGGCCGCCAAGCAGTGCAGTAAATAAATTGCCACCAGCAAGCAGCAAAGGGAAATCCGCCCAAGAAAGGCGAGCGACAGCCACCAGCGCGCACCAGAGCCAGAGCAGCCAGAGCAGCCAGAGCAGCCAGAGCAGCACCAAGAGCACCAGGAGGAGGAACCACTGCCACCTGCACACACCCACCCAGCGCAGCCAGAAGAGGAGCACCATGCTGGCCGATTCGTACCTGATCAAGTTTCTGCTGCGGCAGCTGCAGGTGCAGCAGGATGGGGATGCCCAGCACCTGCTGATGGTCTTCCTGGGCCTGCTGGCCGTGGTCAGCCTGCTCCAGTGGCTGGTGAGGCACTATCGGGAGCTGCGCAAGCTGCCGCCGGGTCCCTGGGGACTGCCCGTCATCGGGTATCTGCTGTTCATGGGCAGCGAGAAGCACACCCGCTTCATGGAGCTGGCCAAGCAGTACGGATCCCTCTTCTCCACGCGACTGGGCAGCCAGCTGACCGTCGTGATGAGCGACTACAAGATGATCCGCGAGTGCTTCCGGCGCGAGGAGTTCACCGGACGCCCGGACACTCCCTTCATGCAGACGCTGAATGGATATGGTGAGTAGGGCGCCCATATTAGTTGCCATTAGTTGCCACTAGTTGCCAGTGGGTCGAGGGAACCTTGGCGAGAAGGGCAGTGATATAAGCCCGGACGCTGATAAGCCACCTGTTTACGTGAAATTAGTGCTACTACTCTGTTTACTACGTACGTACAAGTACGTGTGTAAATTAGCTCGGAAATATTTGCCATAAATCCGCTGCGAAAGCTGAAAATTATCAAGCCATCTGCCCAGTCAGTCAGTCAAGTGCAGATTTAACGAATAAGTAAACGTATTTAATTAGTACCTGGGATGCAGTGCGATTGTCGGTTGCAGTGAAGCCGCCTATTAAGTGAAGAAATTCCACTGCCATTTCTTTCCGCTCTCTTTGACGTTCGATGCTCGATGCTCGGTTTTCGATTTTCGATTTTCGAATTTCGAATTAATTTTGTATTTTTATTTCCACATTTTATTTTAGTTCGGTTTCGATCGCATTCAGCTGCACTTTTTACACACGTACGTGCGTGCATTTAACGCAGTGATAACGCAAAATCACGTTTTTGGCTTTTGGTTTTTGTTTCGCTGGGATTTCTTTGCTGGCATTTCATGTTGACGAAGTAGGGCAAGAGCCTACCTCAATTAAGTGCACAGATGGGGCATAAAAGTTAAAAATAAAGATAAGAGAACAGCACTCCCGATCCCAGCCATTCGATCCGCTGTAATCGCCGCCATTTCCTTGCAGGCATCATCAACAGCACTGGCAAACTGTGGAAGGATCAGCGCCGCTTTCTGCACGACAAGCTCCGCCAGTTCGGGATGACCTACATGGGCAACGGCAAGCAGCAGATGCAGAAGCGCATCATGGTGAGTCCCGCTAATCCCGACCAGCCTGCAGTGAGCAGCTGCTAACCGTATCCTGCTCCTGCTCCTCAGACGGAAGTGCACGAGTTCATCGGCCACTTGCACGCCAGCGATGGCCAGCCCGTGGACATGTCACCCGTCATCTCGGTGGCCGTCAGCAATGTGATCTGCAGCCTGATGATGAGCACCCGGTTCAGCATCGACGACCCCAAGTTCCGGCGCTTCAACTTCCTCATTGAGGAGGGCATGCGGCTGTTTGGGGAGATCCACACCGTTGACTACATACCCACCATGCAGTGCTTCCCCAGCATCTCGACGGCCAAGAACAAGATCGCCCAGAATCGCGCCGAGATGCAGCGGTTCTACCAGGACGTGATCGACGACCACAAGCGCAGCTTCGATCCGACCAACATCCGCGACCTGGTGGACTTCTATCTCTGCGAGATCGAGAAGGCCAAGGCCGAGGGCACGGATGCCGAGCTCTTCGATGGCAAGAATCACGGTAAGTCGAAGTCCTCTCCTTCCTCTCCTTTGCATCCGCACCAGCTGGAACTTCACTGACCTTCAACTCCTTGGCGTCCCCCTTATTTGCAGAGGAGCAACTGGTGCAGGTGATCATCGATCTGTTCTCCGCCGGCATGGAAACCATCAAGACCACCCTGCTGTGGATCAACGTGTTCATGCTGCGCAATCCCAAGGAGATGCGCCGCGTCCAGGATGAACTGGACCAGGTTGTGGGACGCCACCGCCTGCCCACCATTGAGGATCTGCAGTACCTGCCCATCACCGAGTCCACCATTCTGGAGTCGATGCGCCGTTCCAGCATCGTTCCCTTGGCCACCACTCACTCGCCCACAAGGTAAGCTTCCAACGAGATTATCGACTGGGGTTGGCACAACGGGTGGGCTGCTGGGGCATCTGGAGCTGCAGTTGGAGCTGTTAGAGCTATCAGCAGATGGAGTGCTTACGCACTGGCGTTTAAAGATCTACGCAAATGCCGCGAGGTCCGTTCATTCACACCAGATCTCGGCGATTGCCATTCATTGTCGTGGCTCTCCATTCAGCTGGCTCGTGCCCCGGATCCCCCGGCCTCCCCGGTGCCCCCTGCTCCGCCGCAGCCCAAGTGCGTGGCCCACTTTCTGTGTGCTTCTCCACAGATGCCAGTGGACAGATTAGTGGCAGTGCGCAGTGGGCCCAGCCCCTGCTGCTCGCTGATAATCGCCGATGCACCGATCAGACTTCTAATCACAATTTCCGTCGTTCTTCCCTCTCCCCTCTCCACTCGTCCGCCGCAGGGATGTGGAACTCAATGGGTACACCATACCGGCCGGCTCGCATGTCATCCCGCTGATCAACAGCGTCCACATGGACCCCAATCTGTGGGAGAAGCCCGAGGAATTCCGCCCATCGCGATTCATCGACACGGAGGGCAAGGTGCGCAAGCCCGAGTACTTCATCCCCTTCGGAGTGGGTCGGCGGATGTGCCTGGGCGATGTGCTGGCGCGGATGGAGCTCTTCCTGTTCTTCGCCTCCTTCATGCACTGCTTCGACATCGCCCTGCCCGCGGGTCAGCCACTGCCCAGTCTCAAGGGCAACGTGGGCGCCACCATCACGCCGGAGGCCTTCAAGGTCTGCCTCAAGCGCCGCCCCCTGGCGCCCACTGCCGCCGATCCGCACCACATGCGCAACGTTGGCGCCAACTGATGTGGACCCGGTCCGCTCCAGAGCACGGTTTTGTTCCTACACAAATGCAAAAGCGCAAGAAGAAATTCGAGTGAGGAGGGGAGGCCACTTCCATTCTGGCCTCCCGTCGAGAGCTATCCATTTAGCGATAAGTTAGTAGTATCCGCCCGTGGGAGGAGCACATCCGGATCCCGGCTAGAGCCGGGCTGGACCAGGAGCAGAGCAGCCGCAAGCTGTGACCAACGCACAGAGGACTGCAACCAATTCTATTCTTTCACCCCCAAGAAGCTGTGTTCAACTAATTGTAGTTAAACCCTAGTTAATACGCCCTAGTTAGGTTCGATTACGCGCTAATGTCAATGTTTTTATAGTTATTAACTAATATTATTATAACGCTAATGCTAGGATACCGCTATGTCTAAAGCCAGCAGGCCCTTAAGTTAAGTTAGTTAAGTTAGCTAACGTTCTTGTTTATTCGTAGTATTAGAACTAGCTTAATGTCCAAACAACAAACAACAAAACAAACTGTGGTTTAGTCTTACAAGCACACATAAAAATAGCAAACGATTCGAAAATAAAGAAAAATTTGTGGAAAAACCTTGAAAACTAACTGGGCCATACTTACTTCACCATATTTCAACTTTGACTGCGGTTTGCCTAAGATACTTTATTATTATTCTACTTTATAAAAGAATAGTTTGGTCAAGTGAAGTTATTGCAATACCTACATTTGCATTCATTCTACTCATTCGACAATTTAAGCAATCTATATCAACATTGGGCAGCATAAAATATGCATTATAATTATAATTGACACATGAAAAATAGTAGAAATATTTATTAAATGGAACTGGAAATTGCCTAAAAAATGTTATGTCCATAAAAAAAACCAATCAAATAATCCACCATTCACAAAAAAAATAGACTGTAATAGTTAGGGATACAAAAAAACCGGATGCCACCAGATGCACTCATGCAACCTAATCCTGCACCACAGCGCCGTCGGGTTCACGGCGCATCTCCACCGCAGGCAGCTTGGTGAATCGCAGCCTGTGCGGAGCAGGAGTCAGGGTGATGCCGCTCTCGCCCGCCATGTCCACCACTGCGCCCGGGGGCAGCTCCAGGTGGAAGGACCTCATGATGCGACCCGCGAAGAGCGTGAGTAACATGCGAGCCATGTCTTCGCCGGGGCACATGCGGTAGCCGGAGGAGAATGGGATGAACTGTGGCGGCGCCTGGTAGGTGCCCTCGGGGGTCAGGAAACGCTCCGGGCGGAACTCCTCCGGTTCCGGGAACGCCACGGGATCCATGTGAATGGCCCACTCCAGGCAAACGATCATCGAACCGCCCTTGATGTTATAGTCGCCCATGACGAAGTCCTCTTTGCATCCGTGCGGAATGCCCAGTGGGACCACGCTGCGTATGCGCATCGTCTCGGAAATGCAGGCCCTCAGGTAGTCCAGCGGCTCCAGCTCCTCCAAAGTGGGCGACGAACCCAGCGGCAGGAGGAGCTCATGCAGCCGCCGCTGGCAGCGTTGCTCGCGGGCCAAGTAGAGCAGGAACCAGCGCAGGGTGGCCAGTGAGGTGTCCACCCCGGCTCCAAACAGATCGGCCAGCAGATGACGCAGCTGGTCGTCGCAGTAGAGCTGCGAGTCCGTGTCTCGTACGGCGAGGAAGTGCTCCAGGATGCTCTCCGGCTCGTACACGTCCTCCTCGTAGCTCTCCTCCTCATCCTCGTCCTCCCTCGCCTCACTTTCCGGCACACTCTTCTCCTGGCTGGGATCCGCCTCCGTTGACTGTCGCCGCTGCTCCTTCTCCAGCTGCCTCTGCACGCGCTTCCGCTCCTGGAGCTCCTGGAACGCCTGCTGCTTCTCCTTCAGCCGCTGGGCACAGGCCTCCACTATGCGGTCGTAGATGGCGTGCGTCTTGGCCTTGCCCTCCAGCAGGAAGCGGATGTTGCGCTCGTTGGCGGGCAGGTGGCGCAGCCAGGGCAGGAAGTTCACCACCCCGGAGACGCCAATCAGCTTGACGCCCTCCTCCTGCAGCCGCTGCAGGTACAGCCAGTCGGGGTCGTCCCGCTTGTAGGTGATCCCGAAGACCAGGTCGTTGATGATGTTGCCCAGCGTGTGGTGGAGCGCCGGCAGCGGATCCACTTCCGACGCACAGCTCTTCTGCGCCTCCGTCTCGAAGAGCTGCAGGGTGAAATGTAACACATTTAATGCATTATATAAATATATTTAATGGTTATTTAAAATTCTGTGGTTATTCAAAAGCAGTGAGCCCCTTAAATTGTCAAATAATTTGGCTGACTGGCCGGATTATTGAATGCTTCAATTTGAAGGTTTCCAATGAGCAAGAACGCGGTTCCCGAAACTATATGTACTTATATACTATGTATTAAACATATTATTCCATGTGCGCATTGCCACGTTCTGTGCCAAACAAACATCTCCAAGGCACATGCAACATGCACGCAATGTCGCGCTGTTTTTTGGAGGAAGTGGGGCCACTTACCCGGACGCACTCGTCGACCCCGCGGGCGATGCGCCGCTCCAGCCGGGCGCGCAGCTCCCCCGGCCGACGGGTCATGCCCAAGGCCTTCAGCCAATCGATGGTCTCGCGCCGCGCATGGCGCCAAAGGTCCAGCTGGGCGCAGATGATGCCTGTCGTGGATGCGGAGGAAGGTGGAGTGAAGCGAGAACAGTGAGCCGGAAAAGCCCAGCAGCTTAAGGTACTGCTTACCAAATCCGCCCATGATGCCGTGGGTGAGGTAGAGCGGCGCCCGGCCACTCATCACATCGCGGCGAAAGAAATCCCGCACCAGGGCGGCATCCGAGAGGATTACGGTGCGCACCCGGCCCATTTTCAGCTCAAAGATGCCGCCATGCCGCTTGGCCAGCCGCTGGAGTGACTTGTGCGGCGCATGGGCGTCCAGGAAGGGCAGGTAGCCCAGCAATGGCAGGCCCCAGGGACCCGGCGGCGAGACACCCAGTATGTCGTCGTACTGGTGCTCGCACAGGTAGAGAATCACCAGGACCAGCACACCCGGAACCAGCAGCACACTCAGGCTCTGCGCCGAGGGCATCCACCAACCGGTGCAGCCCATGTCGACGATTCCCGCCGACATCACTTTCGATTTCCGGCTGCTCTCACTTTTTTCGCTTTGCCCTCGTCTCGTCTCCTTGGCTTCTTGGATTCTTGGGCTGTTTGGCTGCCGTCTTGCCAGCTTCTTGGCTTCCAGATACTCGGATCCCGACGTCCAGTCGCCAGCAGAGCTCTGCGATTACTGGAATTTCTTTAGAATTTGAAACGAGTCTCTGGGACAGAAATGCAAACAGGGCAGCGGCGAGCTGTCAACGTGTGTCTTCGTCAGCAACGGGAACGGAGGAAGAGCGACCGCCGAAGGCCGTCCAGGCAATGGTAACAACAGTTACCATACCATATATGCCACATATAACACAGCAGCAGGCATCGGATTTCGGCATCGAAGGAGGAGAGTCTAATTTGAAAATGAAATCGCCTGCTTAGCGTATGCACATTCATTACACCCACAGCTGGCCGAGATCGAGATCCAGATCCAGCTGGAGATCGAATGGGCGAGGTACGCACCTCAGGAAAGGCTGCGAAAGTCAAACAACTCATGGGTAAAGGGTATCCGGCTGCCCGGATGGCCCAACCCGAGTACCTGACTTCGACAGACGGACATGCATGTATTCTCTACCTTTCCATTTCTATTTCTGCCACATTTGCACTTTTCGTGTGTATTCCTTAATTTCGCGGCTGCTGAATTGGTTTCGATTTGGGTTTACCTAAGCCGCAGGCAAAAACAACAGGAGGCGGCTAAAATATGCCGGGGTTTTCCCTGCACAGAGAGAAAACTTACATAAGCTAGGATAAGGACAGCACATTTTCTAGAATTTTGGATTCAATCCATTGCGGACAGGCAGCACAAGAAGCGCTCTGGATAACTGCCTGCGCCTGGGGATTTCCAGCCTGGCGGAGCGGTCTGAGTCATGTCAGCGTCAGCACTGCAACTTCTGGAAAGGAATGGCGATTGGCGATTGGCGAGTGGGCAAGGAAGTGGCAGTGGCAAGGGCTTCGTCCGCGAGGCTGGACAAACAAGTTCAGGGCCAATGGCATGCGCTAAAATAGATCCGCCGGCCGTTGACTCCGCGCGCGATCTGTGGACAAAGGAGCAGCGCATCAAGATCTACGATCAGGCAGCCATAGCCCTTCCGTGGCATTAACTTGAAATTTACCTGTACATTTTAATGACCCGCCAGTGGCAGCAGGCGAGCTCTGGCTGCGTGCCGCGGTCGCCGAACCTTTCCATTGTCCAGACACATGGGTCCACGTCCTCAGGTCCGCCGATCCGCCGATCCACCGATCCTCAGCAGCGACAATGTTCTTGAGTGGCAGACGGTTCAACAGACGCCAAGATCATTGGCCTGTCGGGGCAACATCCTATGGCAAAGGGAAAGGACATGAACCCAACGGCCAGCGGATGCTGCCTGTCAACGCGGCCGGCATTATTTTAAGCCCTTTCGACTGGCTGGCTAAATGTGGCTGAAACGAAATAAAAGAAATGCAAAAAGCGGGCCACGTTGATGGCGGCTTCAGTTGGGATGGGGCTAAGGGGCTGGGGATCGGGGTCACCCAAAACCCCAATGCGTATAAGGATTTTGGGAGCTGTAGCTTGGTAGTGTGGATTGCTTGAAGTGTGCCTAAAATAGCACTGCTAGTAAGCACTTTAAAGCCAAATTTAGGATTTTTGTATCTTAACAGAATATATTTCCAAATACTGCAGGGCTCAGCTCAATGTTAACTTGCAACTTGCCACTGCTTAAAATGAATACTTGAATATTATTTAGTACTAAATAGAAATTGGCACCACCTTGGCTTGAAAGCTTGGCCCCCAAGGATCGTCGTTCTAAGATCCAAGACGATCCAAGGTTGGTGGCCACATCGTCATCATCATGTGCTGATACAACGCGTCTAATCAGCGCATTGCAACGAATTTTCGGTGTGTGCTTGAATGGAACTGGAAATCCAATCGAGTCGAGTCGAATCGGGGGCACCTCATCATGGCAGCCAGCTCACGTGGCGTATTCGCGTTCCCTTATCGTGGAAAGCACAAAGAGGCACGGGTTTCGTCAGGCAGTAATGTTACAGTTGCAACAGCGCATTGATAGTGGCCTGCTCTCGAAATGGGATTGGGATTGGGTCTGGGTCTGGGATCCGCGGCGCACATGGCCCTGCATGGGCATGGCATCCATGCCATGTTTACCCTTTGCACACCCAACATTTCATTTTCGAAAGCGAGCACCCGATCTGCTGCTCCAGTGCAGAAAAATGTGTCAAGGTGGTTTGCGTGCTTTATTTTTTAACCCAATTCCAGTGTTTATGCACCCATCCAATATATGCATGTGTGTTTGGTTTCCCTCGATCCGACAAAGCTTTATGGCACGCGCTGCGAATGGAATGGTAATTCAAGCCCCCAGCCAAATGTGCTGTGTCCGATGGTTTGCGACATTAATGGAGCATCTCGCATTTGGTGGCAAAGTCCAAGGTTGAGCACCAGAACAGCGGGCCCAGTCTGATCTTTCGCCCAGAGTCAGCGATTTGGCCACCGTCCACCGTCCAACGCAAGTCGCATTTCGGATACCCCGACCACTGGAGCTGGGGGCCGCCAGCCGGCGAGTTCGAGGCAGTGCATCCGGCAGTCGGCGGCGTCGCTGTTTGCCCAGCAATTAAGCAGTGAGGAATGCGCCGACGAATGGGTCAAGTCACGGCGATCCGTGGCAGAAGACACCCGAGTGCAGTCAGCTGCCTACGGTCATCCGACCCATCTCCATTTTACGGGGCAGCTACGGGGTAGTGCACATCTGGTGCCTCCCAAAAACTGCGACTTCAGCAATTAGCGGCTTTGTTTTCTGTGATTCGTGTGATTTGTGTGATTTGAGTGATTTGTGTGCATTGCGGCGACTGTTTGCACGACGGACGGATGGGTGGATGGGTGGATGGATGGACGGACGGACGGACGGACGGACGGAATGGATGTGATTGGCGTACAAAATCGAATACGAATTTTACAGATACCTTGACATCTTTCATAGGCCAAGCCAGCGTTCGTTTAACCCATCCAAGCAACCGACTATAGACATGGGTATGGCTACGGCTACGGCTACGACTACGGCAGCCACCCAAAGAACGTGCCAGTGGATTCCACTGGAATGACTACATTCTGTCGGGTCTTGGAATCGCCATAGTTGGCGCAGTGCTGGCAATAAAATTAAAAGAATTTACATTCGGTCACATTTTCATTTCGATCTCGGTCTCAATGGCCGCCGCTTCGGAATTGGAATTGGATTTGGATTGGCATTCAGATTCGGAAGCGGATCCAGGCCAAAGTCTGTGCTCAGCCTGGTTCAGATGTTACTATGCATGAAAACTTCTTGATTACCGTTTAGCATATATTGCAACTTTTAAGATCCCTGATCGTTTGCAAAAAGGGAGCATTTAATAAGTACTTTTCAGCCTAAACATCTACGATATTGAATCAATCTCTAAATTGATTTTGAATAACTTTAAAGTAAGAGTCTCGCAAGATAATTTCTAAAACGTATAGATTTAGGCCTAAAGGAAAAGCGAGATTATACATAAATGCAGTCTGGTCCGTCTTTCCAAAATATATTACCTTGAATTTTATATACGCTCAGTCGAGCAACCAGTTATATTTTAAATAGCTTTCCAAAAGCATAGACTTGTAATTTTAGTACTTTTATTACTATTTCCCCGCCGCAACAATTAAGTGTTCTTCTCATATGATCGAAGTGGTAGACCCATAGAGCTCTTACCTACATTTTTACCTAAATATAATAATAATTATAGAATTGCACTATTAATCGCAGGATATAGAGAGTGCAACTAATTCTTATCAAATGCAGAGCATCTGGCATTCGACTCGATGCGAGCATACATAGTCTCGTATTGCTGAAATTAGCATATTACTTATGAGAATAAGTTCTCTTCTGTTCTGAGCGATCAGATCCGATACGATCCGATCCGATCCGATCGGTCCAAGTAGAGCCAAGTGAAGCCAAGCCAAGCGGCGGTAAGAGCGACTGCAGCAGTTCAATGGCTTTTGAGCCATTTTGAGGTCAACGCACCCAGTGCATCGAGAGGTGGCAGTGGTGGCAGTGGTCCCAGTAGTGCCACCAGTAGTGGGCTGCTGCTGGGGTGGCGGGTGGCCAAAACCAAAGATCGGGCCCGCAGCCGAAAACCTTGCGCATGAACGGATCCATGGACATGGACACACACTCACTGGCCAACCAGCGAGTAGTGAGTAGTGAGTAGTGTACAGTGCGCAGTGAGCCACGTTAGCCAAGTTGGCCAGTTTCGGCCTGTCTGCTCTGGCGGATCTGAAGCCAAATCAGAAATCTCGTAAAATCTGAAAATGAGAGCTGCTCGTATCTGCATCTGCATCTGTATCTGTATCTTTGGCTGCATCTGTATGTCTGGCGTATGCAAAAATGCATTTCGAATGTAAAGTGGCGACTCGCTGCTGCTGGCTGACAAATTGCCGCCTCAACTTGTTCTGACACCTTTATTCGGGCGGGCTTTTGGCTGCCACTGCTACCACTGCTGCTACTACCAATGTGGCAACATTCTAATTAAGCTGCGCGCCACACATTGTTTCGACACCTGCCCGCCCAGCGCACACAAGCAGCCAATAAAGCCAACAACAAACGACAAACGGCCAACGGCCAACGGCAAACGGCGAACAACACACAACTAACAACCAACAACCAACAAGCAACAACAAACAAATGCAAACGCTTGCACGTGCCGCTCACAAACACACGCAGATAGCCACACATCGATGAAGTCATCGTGGAAAATAGTTGGGGGTTTTCTGGCCGCGTGCCGGGGAAGCACCAAGTATCTTGGTCAGCCGAGCTGCCAGCCTGCGTCCTTCATATGTATCTGTATCTTCGCTTTTCATAAACGACTTGACCGGAAGACTTGTGTGGAGGTATGCTTCATGTCCCTAAGGAATGGCAAGTAGTGCCACTGCACTATATTAAAAATAACTAAATAATTGGGATAGTTTCGTTTTTATACTGAGAAAAGTTTTACCAATCTAATCTTCAAGTATGTGTGTCTAAAAAGTTGTGTTACTCACACTACTTAAGTATTCTATATTGCACCGCCACATATCTAAGTCCCGTAAACTGCAATAATTAACAACTATTTAAATACTTTTTTTTTTAATTATTTCTTGGAAATATTTCATCCAGAAATGTGTCATCCTATTCGTTCATTCTGGACTCTTTTCTGAGCATTTGTCCCTCTGCGCGGATACGGATACCGATCTGAAGCTATATCTGAATCTAAGTCCTG